ACATATATGATATATCTATGTATATTTTCTCATTAGGAACTGAGTATTACTGGAATAACCAGTATAATGTTGTCGCTGTTTAGTGCACAAAATCACCTTGACCTACTGTTTCAGGGATTACACATTTAAAACGGAATGAATAAATAATCTGATCGTATAATAAATATAAAAAACCGATCGGGTTTCTCGTGGTTCTTACCCGGTATTTATTTATTTTTTCTACTTACTTACCTTCCGAAAAAATAGATCCGAGATGGCTTATTATTATTACGTAGGTACCTATGTGGTATATAGGTATATACTGTTGGACCAATCATCACCACGGGGACGTATCTTTACAGCAAAATTGCAATACCTAATCACCATCGGTATAAAAATATAATAATATTATGTACCTACTACTTATATTGTCTAATAATTAGGTATCGTCGTCGTCCGTCTACGTGTATATGTATTTAACGGGAATTGTAACTGCATAATCGGTTTTTTCACCGGAGATCCTTGAAAAAAAGGTCCTTGCTATGTCGGTACGACGGTACATGCATATTGTTCGTGACGTAGAAACGATCGTAAATATCGGTTACATTCGATTTCGTACATTGACGACAGAGACCGCAAGCGATGATCCATATAATAATATATATAATGATAAATTAATAACAACATACGCTGTGTCCGCCATGAACCTGCACAATTATATGATGGTTATAGTCGTCGTATAGTAGGTAGTTGTACGTATTTATAGTATCGACTATAATAATGTAATAGAGGGATGACATTTTGGGAGAAGGTTCCAACCGCATATACAACTATAGATGCTCAAAGGGCTCAAACACCAAGAACAATATTTCCACGGGCTTGTAGCTCGTTTTATTATGAACCACAAATGCTTCAAAAGTATTATAGTTCAATATTATTGAAATATTTTGTGTATCAACTTCGAAAAAAAAGTTCTTTACTCCATACTAGGAAATAAAAATATATATTTGATTTTCGATTTGAAATTCAAAAGTTTAGAGATGGATTAACTGCAGCAGGATCGAAGATCTAGGAGTGGCATCCACGCATGAATGGCAATGTCGTCATATTTACACAAATATTTATCTTTAACATTTTTAAATATTATATTATATGATTAAGTATCAAATCCATCACTTTCGGTTTTTCGGTTATTGTTAAATTATCATATAGAGATGCCGTAATTTATATGTACATGTTATATATAAACTTATACATATTTTACTATAATAAAAATAAAATGGTGTAGAACCTATATTATGCAGGAGGTTTGCTGCTAACTCTTGTGATTTACACACACATCTCAGCTTGTAAAAATGAAAATATATTAAATTTATTATAAGAAACGAGTCCCTTCTTATTATGGTATTAAGAATGAAATAGTGTCATAATGATATAAAGTAAATTGAGTGATATAGAAACTTATGGTCGGCACTCGTAGAATAATAATCATCAATGCCGTCCTAAAAAATCTGATCCCAACATTTTAGAGTCAAATATTTTCATGGTCACGTTAAAAATAAAACGATAAAAAAACATTGTAATCGCAATTTGATATACGACTTAAAATATGTACATATATTAAAATTCAAACAATATTCCTCGAACAACGGGCTTTTAGAACGAATATATAGGACATATAATAGGTATGCATAGAAACTAAAAATAAACATATTTAGACCTTCATGGACCTAATCTAACCTAACCCGCAGAGCTGTTATAGGAGGAAATGGGTTGGTAAAAATTAAAATCATTTAAACTATATTATACTTATATTCCATTGTACTTGGTAACACTATACTGGTACCCAGTGCACTCGTAAATCGCAATTAAAGTGCATGAAGTACATGAAGTACATGAACGAACTTCGAGCTGTATGAGATATTGTATGGATGCAGTTCACCGTGTGCGTTATGATAATATAATAATTTAAAAAATATCGTAGCGCGAGTGTGGATAATGATATGGAAAAATTACTCATAACAATAAAAACGATTGCCAAACACGTTGATTTGTCGTCTAAATTGTTTAATTCCCCGTTTTCGTTGGACATTGATAATTATCATGTAAACGTGTAGAACTAAATTATTATAACATTGCAGTTTTCCTCTAGTGTATTATAATATTGTATGGAAATAACTTCATCTCAACTACTTTTATATAAATCCAATATTTTTTATATACTTTTAAAAATTTGATCGATATGAGCTGTGGTCTGTGAGGTGATAAAATATTTCCAGAAACTGTATAATATTACGTGATAAGATTAATCTGCAGTTTATAGTATCATGCATAGGTAAATAATCATAATTTTATTATACCATTAATATACCAAAAAATATAATTATCTCACCGTGCTCGTTCGATTACTTGATAATGTTTTTAAGCCCATTAAAACAAAACAACGAATAATAATTATGATGGCCTTTAGAGTATGATTGCCGTGATGCCGTGTATTTGAAATAATTGTTTATAATGTCATTGACAATATCTGTTTCGGTCGCTTGATTGTTCTTAACAATATTTTATTATTTTAGAAATTTTACTAGGCACTTTTTTTTTAATTACAAAATGTAATTTTCTATTCAAAATTTTGGTTTCCCAAAATGTAATGAATATTATGTATTATTATGACTTTTTTTGTTAATCGAAAGCATAAAATTACGAAGGTCAAGGTGTATAGTGGTGTACATTATAATAACATTTTTATTTAACATTCTACAATATTAATATACCTATTTATGAGAACAAAATATATAATAATAATATGCAGTTTCAATTGTCCAGTTTTACTAGATTAGAATATTAAATTGTAGGTTTTTATCCTCATGTATACATGTAGTTAATAATTCACATAGGATAACATTAAATATTTGAAATTTTTAAGTCTTAACTATAATTATATACGAGTATGGTCTGGTTTTCTTTTTAAATAAATTAGAAAATTAAATTAAATTGGAAAATCCAGAAAGAAAACAGACTTTAATACTTTTAAAAAATGTATGCCCGTGTTATTAAAATTTAAGTGGATTTAACATCTTAGGTTTCTTCAGGTTCAGGTTATTAAACACACCAAAATATATTAATTAAATGGTCTTTTCAAATTAATGACTTACAATTCACACATATACGTACTATAAAGCTGTTTATTTTGTTTTATTATTTCCTTAACACGTCGACGTTCGAACTGCAGTATTGGCAAAAGTATTTAATGGATACGTGTGTAGAGTGGTGTTGATGAATTTATAGTTTCAACTATATTAATTATTATAAATTGTACATACGATTATGAGAATTTACAAGCGTCAAGATTTTATTTGAACTTTACACGACATTGTACCGTAAGCAATACTATTAATATTTAAATCTGTGTATTATATAAATATTTCACAACTCTATTTTATAATAATTATTCGTTATAAATTATATGGGTGTACTGAATAGGAGTATATCATGTAACGCCTATATTTCAAAACTCAGACTTATAATAACGACACTTATTTATATATTATTCACATCCGAAAGCAATGATATTATTATCACGCATTCACGCACATAACGAATCACAATATTATATCTATGTTGGTCAATTATAATGTTCAAATCGTCTTCGTGAAACCAAAAAGCTGTACATGCATATACATATTATACAGCTTAATTATTTTATATAGGGTATACCTATTTATCAAAAAGCGTCACATTGTTATTTGTTTGGACATTACTCTTTAGATGATTTGAAGTAACAACATTTTTGAAAAATAATATATAATGTATTATATTATATGTCTTACTATTTTTTACTCATACCTACCATTTTTTTTTTTTTTTTTTTTTTTACTTGTTTACTATAGTTTGAAATATGGTAGGTACCTATATAATTTTAATTCTGTGCTCCTAAGCATAAAAATAAATCTTAATAATTATGTTGTTTTCACGTTATCGCTCACACCCGGAGTAAAGATACGCAAGTGTAGGTATACTAGCTGTTACCTATTATATAAGTGATTCGGCGACTCTCCTCATGTGTTGTTTACTCTGTAGGTACAACAATATCACGTACTTTTCAGAATAAAAACAAAAATTACGAACTAAATAAATCTAATGACTCGTAAGTTTCTAAAACATAAATACATCGTGAATTCAATAACAAAACCTTACCACAGAAAATTGTCCATGCGTGTGTCCAAGGAAAGAGAAAGTTTCGAGACACGGCGCAGGTCGTGGGATCATCTCGTGCTATAGATATATACTAGGATAAAGGACATTTTGCACTTTACCTCCACGAAAGCGTTTTGCTTACTTACTTATATACTTACCAACCGTTTATAACGTCGTATTATTATTATGACGAGGCATGTCCGTTAGGTTAGGTTAGGGTTAGGTTAGGTTAAATGAAAACTTTCAGCAAGTTATGGTAATAACAGTGTACCTATTATTATTATTATATACTATTAACTTACGTAGTTAATGTATACAGTAGCGTACACCGTAAACGATGATAATATTATATTGTGTACATTCCAATATCATATTGTCTCGCATTTTAACGTCGAACTTTAATAACCGTGTTCGAAGTATGGTCGAAAAAAACCCACCAAAACACGTTTCAAAAATCTACTGTGTAAATCTGATGCGATAGTGAGACCTGGCTCGAAATCGTAATTATTAAAAAGTCGATCACTTGTGCTTGTTAAAATGTATTCAATTACTTTTTGATAGGTACTTCCAACACACATTAGTTAATCAAAATAAACGTTTAAAAAAAAGTTTGCCATTTTCGGGATCGCGTTTAGTATGCATTATGATGTACACATGTTTGGCCAACATGCCAAGCCCTGTTAATAGGGTTAAATATCCTGTTCCACCCTTTGGATCCTTCTGCAAGTCTTCTGTAAAAATATCAGTGTGTATAATATACACACATGTCACATAGTAAATAGAATGTGTTAATCGAACGTGTTGTTTTCGTTCTGTCGTTTCAGGACCCTTATTGGCCATCGTCGTCATCAGCATCACCGGACAGATCCTGCGAATGCTGTCGCCGAAATTCGGTTCCTTAGTCGCCGTGGAGGCAGACAGGAAGGCCTACCTCCGTCACATCCATTCCAGGGTCATCACGAACGCCGAAGAGATCGCGTTCTACGGTGGCCACAAGGTAAAAAACAAAAATACATTCCTTAATTATTATAAACAGCGTAATAGTACTATAATGATATTAATATAGTCTTGTATATAGGTACACTGGTGACTGGTATACAGAGTATAACGTATTCGAATACAATTTCGACTTATTCGAAAGAAATAATTGTGTTTTAAGTCCGATTTTTTTTTATACAGTTTATAGTTTTTTTCTTATTCTTTGGTTACTAGGTAGAGGTACCCACTTCAAATCTAAACACGGAAAAAATTGTGACAAAAAAAAAAGTTTGTGCCTGAAAATAATCCATCCTTCAAAAATTTGCTTTTAATTCTCAAAACACCCACATTTCAAAAACCTTGACATTTAAAACAATATTGTATTCGAACAGTTTTTGTGCTGTTCTTTTTATTTATTCGAATAGATTGCAAAAAAAGAGTTTTTTTTTTCTGCACGACTGTTGTAGTACCAATATACTCATAATATATGTGTTTATACACATTTTATACGCAATGCAGTGCTGTAATACCTATATAATGATATAGTAATAAAACGAGTGTGTCGATAGCTATACGCAGCACAATATTGTCGCGTATATAAAACGTAAATCTACCTACCTACCTATACTTACGATCGGTCTTATTAATTAAACGGCGTAACATTATTATACTATCGTTCTGCAGTGGCTAGCCTTGACACAGGACGAGTGACGGCTGTGCAACATATTATTATGATAGTGCCGTATGATAATCTGACGCGGGTTATCGAACCCCAACCGATCTCGCACTAAGTATAGGCACTTGGGGGAAGGTTTTTTTTTTATGTTATTATTATAGATATTACCTACGGTAATTAGTTCGGTGTTTACGCGCGTATATAGTGCCATTATTAAAGCGACAAAATATACATGATATACCTGTGGAATAAACGAGTTTTTGACGGCTGTTATAATATCCCTATATACCTACTGTCATTTGGGTTAAGGTCGCCGTGTACAGTGCGTTTATTATTTTTAAACGCGGATAAACACCCGCCAGTAACATTATTGTGTGTGAGTTGGAATCGCTCTTTACCACAACTCCGGACGTCGACAATTATTATTCAGTTCGTCAACCTAATTACACTTAATACACCTTAAGCCGATGTAGGTAAAAGAGTATAAGACCCTCATAAATAGTTAGCAACACAACCCCGACGGAAACATAATATGGAATATATCCGACGAATTTGTCTGATAGTGTTGAATAATTCTCAGATTTTGTTGGACTTTATTTTCATCGGGAGAGCTATATTTAGACTTTTGTGCTGCAAACTTTGTACTGCAACGGCACAACATTATGTTAGCGATCTTTTGTTGGACATGTTGGAACACACTGACATTTTGTTGGATAATATCTTCTATACACTGGTACTCAGTAGAGCTTTGTTAAGTTAGTGCCATCAACAGCACAATTGTATGTTGCCAAACTTTTTCCAGAGTAAGAAAACTTGATGTTATATTGTTGAACACTGTTGGTGCACTCTGAAAGTTGTTGAACTTTATTTTCTCCAATAGAGCTTTTTAAAGTTTTTACTATGTTATAGTTGTGCACTTGTGCTGTTATACTTTATAAAACTACGTAGGTATAACTGGTATTGGTATTTACTATTCACATCGTGCAACTAATTAGTTGACGGTTTTGTTTTATCTATATGAGTTATATATATGAATAATTTATTAATTGTTGTTTATTACGTTTTCTTATAAATGATTCATACAATTTTGTATGTAACTAGATTTTCCCCTTTAAACGAGCTGGGATTAGGGTGTATAAAGAAAAAGTTTTGATTTTTAAATAAAAACAGAACGAATAGTTTGATGTACATAATACATTTCAAGTTCCAAAGTTATATAATCTTGAAAATAACAAAATCATATATTTTCGTAGGCATGTGAACATAATACATAAACTGTGAAGAAGAATAATCGGTAAAGAATTAACTACTGATAGTTGTTGAAATCCATTTATCATCCAGTCTGTTCATCTGACTTCCTCAAGAATGATATTATCTTGTAACAAAATAAATTATGCTCTAAAGTCTGCATTATGCACAAAATCCGAATTTTTTTTAACATCTGGTATAATTCTGGTAATTAATACCGATGGCCACCACCAAGAAAAATGTGTACTTTATAAATTATATTGTTGTTGTTTCTTTTGCCTGCATATAATTATAGTTTTATTGATTATATTATTTTAATTAGTTTTTCAAAAGGTAATTTTGGCTTTCGTCTTTAACACACTCATCGTTTTTATTTTCTGTACAGGTGGAAATGATACATTTGCAAAACGCCTATCAGTCGTTGGCCCGACACATGAACGCGATATTCTCGCAAAGACTGTGGTACGTGGTCCTAGAACAGTTCCTCATGAAATACGTATGGAGCGGAACCGGAATGGTCGTCGTGTCGTTACCGATCATAACTAGCTCAAGAATAGCAGGTAATGTGTACACCAGGGTAGAGGTTACGCACTGAAATCCTCAATGTCATTAAATACCTACGTATCATGACTTACAATAAAAGTCGTCACTTGCCGAAATTGTATATACGATGTACTAAACTGCGAAAAAAAAATCACCTGAACAAACTCTAGTCCAAAAGTATCTAAGTTAACGAGCAGTTCATTAGGTTCGGCTTCGGAGTCGTGTGCAGAAATACGAACTATAATGATACTAATATTTTACTGCCTTTTTTTGAAGTTGTTGACAGAACACTTTTTCGTGTAATTATCTATTATACAACGTCCCACGCTGAATTATTTTAAAGTTTTAAACATTTTACTGAGGCGGCAGACGACCATAAAAAATGTGTGTATATTTTGCGTAAAACATCCATTACATCAGTCAATGGCCAATATATGTTTGTATAGTAGAAATAAATTAAAAGTATTTAAAAAATTCTAATTTGTACTATGATTTAACATTATTTAGAGTATTTAAAATTGAAATTAATTGAGCAGTAAAATTTAGATACGCGATATAACCCTGCATGTTGCAGACACTCAAATCCTCTTGCCTAAAAATATGTAAATGCTTTTAAAATTTAAATAAAAATCCAATTTTCTATAGTTGTCATATCAAAATATTCTGCTCGGGAATAAAAGGGTTAAAAAAGTAAAATATCTAAAAAATCATTATTACAAAAAGTTGATTTACTACAGAATTTTTTTTTGCAAAAACGCCGTGCCTCTGCAACCATGAAAATATAAAATTCTATGAAAAGACAAAAAAAAAAAAAAACGATTTACTGAGTACTCGCGTAGGTTAGGTTGGGTTAGACATTATGTAAAAATAACAGGATCTTAATATAGGTATTAATATATTGTATTATCTATGTCATACTCTAATATTGTAATTTGTAATACACTGCAGTTTATATATCGTGTAATATCGATTTCTTTAAGAACACTATTCGTATAATTGTATAAGTACTGTCATTGATTATAAATAGGTACTATATGATTCGTATTTATAATCAATGGTACTGTGTCGGTGGCACACGCTTTACCACACTGCTTGTCAATTTCAGAACTCAACGATTCTCCTGACGGAGGAGTGAGCGAGAGGACTCAATACCTGACCACGGCGAGAAATCTACTGGCTTCCGGGGCCGATGCCGTCGAGAGATTAATGACTTCATATAAGGTAAGCAATAGTGTATTGTCGTTCACTCGTTCATCGTATATAAAAAAATATTAAACTGAAATCGTTGAACGTCTTCAAAATAGAATACAGAACAATATTGATGATATATGGCTCGGAACTTATAGCACAACAAAACGTTATGATAAGTGCCTATATATATATTATATATTCCCCTAAAAAATGAATTATATGCACAATAAACTTTAAAATAGAAGCCACAAACAATGTTAAAACAATCGTTTAAAATACGAGACCCTGCAGATTTAAGTATCATATTTTTTTAAAATTCATTTCATTTTGATACATTATATTCTACCCCTTCGCGGTCCCGAGCCAAAAAAAAAAAATGCAAAACTATATGTCGTCTTTGAATTCTGTGTACTGACTTCACTTTAAAAACATATATTGTGCCCCTCCACTTAATGCTTTACTGTATCAGACGATATACAGATATATGCAACTGCTATATTATCATTTATTATTACGAGTCTCCGAGCCTCGCAAGCGATCACGCAACAACTTACCGATTTTCTCTTTTGCATTATTACTCATATATAGGAAATTGTCGAGCTGGCCGGTTACACGTACAGGGTAGGCGCCATGCTCGACGTGTTCAACGACGTCAGCAAGTGTAAATACCGCCGAAACGGTTTGGCCAACGGAAAAGTGCACAAGATGTTACCGAAATTGCACTACAACAAGGACGGACAACTCGTGATCAGAGGTAAAACTATGCGCTATATTTCAGCCCCGTGTCTGTCGCATGATATTATGAGAGCAGACGAATAATAAAAATAATAATAATAATAATTGTAATGTAACAATAATAATATTATACCGCAGAGACCTATCCAATCCTTTTTCGTTTCGGACAGGTATATTATAGTCAATATAATACTCCCCGGAAAGAAGAGTTAGTTCCGTTTTACGGGAGATGAAGCCGTAACGGTATTTATTTTTCCATCGTATTACACGTTTTAACTCGCTTTCGCACCAGGCTGAAATCGTGTGTTGCAATAGAAACTTTTGACGCTATTAAATATTATTACGAGTCGTCGGTATAGAATACCGGTTGTATCGGCTAAAGTGTTCCGGTGTATTCAAAATCGCAACATAAACAATAATAATTAATAAAAAAAAACACTTTGCCGAATAAAAAACCCATCGCACGTGCTAAATAAAAACATATTGGCTATTTCATTTTTCTGGTATATCGCGTACGGTATGGTGTGAGAAAATGTGTATTATTATGAGCCATTCGTTTGTCGTAAGTACTCATTACTTTAACCAAAAAAATAAATGTATCCTAAGCATTTACAACCATAAGTGTATTTGAGTACTTAAAAAGTATTTGAATACTTTTACTCAGGTACTATTTACAAGACTGGTTGCGAGATAGTTCGGTTTTTAATTTTTAATATTGTGTGGAGAACTATCTAGGTATATTTCGAAGAAATAATGAAAGTTTATCAAAACATTTTTTCTAACATTTCAATCATCATATATAGACTGTAATATTTTAAAAATAATTTTTAAATATTGAATGAGTACCTATAGTTAAATAGATAGATTAAAATAAGTAATATTTAAATTGTTGATGACTGGTGTTGTAGTGAAACAACATTTTATGGTTACCGCTGTGGCAGAGGGTTGCTTTTTATTAACATTCCAGAAAACAATTATCTTGAGCTTCGGTTTTTTTTCTATATTATGTTAATTTAATATCATCATTACTATTATATAAAGGTAACAATAAAGTCATTAAATTAGCTTTAAATAAAATTAAAAAGTGAACATTATTATTTAATAGGAATAAAAAAAAAAAATACCAGGAGTTGATAGACTATCGATAACGTCGAGGGGGATAGCACCTCCGTATCAAGATTTTTCATTATGAAAATTGGATTTTCTCCTCCTCCTCCCATGACGAGTATCGGGTACGCCACTGCGTCATAATATTATGTACCGACCAAATTATAATAAAAAAAACATCGGCGGGAGTCGTCGTTATAATGTTATCGTCTCATATACGCACAATGTAAACAATAAATTGTTGACTTTGGCGCATTGTTCGCAGGCGTCGTAAAAAACAGTCCGGACGGCAGCATATCGCTGTACGACGTGCCCATTGTGACGCCCAACAGCGACGTGGTCGTGTCCAGCCTGACGATGACAATGAAGCCCGGCGAACACCTGCTGATCACCGGCCCCAACGGATGCGGTAAATCGTCTCTGTTCAGGGTCCTAAGTGGGCTGTGGCCCGTCTACGCCGGCACGCTAATCAAGCCTCCAAACTGTTGCATGTTTTACATACCACAAAGGTATATAATTAATACATCTACCCGTTGATAAAAAAAAACTAAATGTGTAATAAACTAATGGCGGATCCGGGGCTTAATTCTTTTTTAGGGGGGGGAAGTACAAAAAGTACAAAAATTGGTTAAACACAGTGTAAGACAAAGGGAAACTATGGTGATTGGGGGGGGCGAATGCCCTCTTTGCCCCCGGCCCCCCTCTGGATCCGCCACTGCTGTCCGGGCAGTAGCGTATGTTTAATGATTTGACAATGCGATACAATATATTATAGTTGTTGATATTGACGGGTTTTAACTTTTAAGAAAAATGGTTCAACAGTCATAAAATATATAGCTAGGCACCAACCTACTACTTTGCAGGAGACACGAAAAACGTTTGTCTTCTTAACTTTTTTGTAATCACGTTTTAATATTCTTGTTGATAGATTGTTTTAATAAAGCTGTAGTTTTTTTTAATATTTTTTTTAGTGGCTCGTAACTAGTGCCACAATTTATATCCAGTATAAAAAAGCAAAACACGCATTTAATTTTGTTATAATATTATGCTAAATACCTGTACAAAAAAAAATGATAAAATATACAGTTAAATTACCAATAATTTTCAAACTAACATTAAGTGAAAGTCTTACTCTAAACGTCTTTTGAATTTATATAGTAAATTAACAGAATAAAACATAAGTAGGTAACTTTTTATGTGACCAATATAAACTAAATAATTTTGGTTAACCTCACTCTTAAATAAAATCTTAGCATTTTTAATAGATTTTAAATTTTTCTTCGTCAAAGACAAAGTCACTAATATGAAATTTAAGTAACCAACTAGCGTATTATAATACAGAATCTAACCTTTTTACATTATTTTTGTTTAAATATACCACATATTATATAACATACATTTATTGTATTTATGATTCAAATTTTAAATATCTATATATTCAATACAGAGATCTGACAAATGACATAACTTTTGCTATATAAAAATTTTTTTTTTACTCATTTAATTTATAGTCACTAGCGCTACACGTATAATATACAAACAATTATTTTTATTTTATAATGCTGAATATAAAAAATGTATAATTTGATTTAAAATTTTTTATATAAATTTAAAATAGCCAATTTGTGAATCTGATTATAAGAACAATTTTGATGGTAAAAACATTTATATAAGTCAAGTACTTAGTTTATTTCTTAGAATTTTATTAAATATCTATAATTTTTTTACTAAATTATTTTGGAACGTAATAACTTTTTTAAAAATATTATTTTTGGGAATTTGCTGACATGAGTATATTTCTTAAATTCTTTGGTAATCACATAGTATTAACAATTTTTGCCATACGTTTAAGTAGCATTTTTTTTTTTTTTGTCAGATCTCGGTGGGACACAATGTATATGCAAAATTAATTATATATTAATATCGACATACCTAACCACATTTTTAAAATTACGTTGCAACAAAAACATTCCAATTACTCTGTTACATATTATACGTCTTGTGAGTTAGTCCTTTTCTCACTATGACCATTGTTTGTATTATAATGTATTATGTAATCAAATATCAATGCCATGACCTATGGGCATTGAGTGGCCTATGACTTGAATTATTTTATACAACTTATGGCCTTTGCCATTCTGACTTATTACTTTTCGGATATAAGTTTATAACATAATATTATTTCATTCGTCTGAGAATGAAGTTATTGTGTACAACATATTTCATTTAATATTTAAAATTAAAAAAATTAAAAATATGAAATATGACTTATGACTTATCGGCTTCTGTCAAACGTATTACATTACCTTATACCTTAAAAACTCTCGTGGTGGTACAATTTTATACCTACGACATAGTGAACATTGTATTCAATGTGGCCCACGATTCAATGTTCAATGTACACCGAAAAAATCTCAACTTAACTCATTGAAGGAGCTTCTCACAAAAACCGCCCAGTTTCATAATATAAATCACTTAAGGGGATTGGTGGCGATCAGTTATTTTAGCCAAAAGATACCAGTCTTTTGTCAATCGTACTGATCGACCTAGAAATGCGATAATACTTTTTAAAACTGATTTGAATTTGTGATTATGTCTACTTGAGATCGGTCAGTCCACTTTTCCAAATTTTACCCCCCAACTCCTATAAATTTGGTTTGAATATTTTAAATTTTAGGAATTTTCAAACGTTAATTTTTCGGAATTAAAATCAAAAATCTTAAAATGTGGACTGACCGATCTCAAGTCGACATCATAACGAATTCAGATTAGTTTTCTGAAATATTATCGCATTATTAGATCAATCTGTAGGATTGACATAAGGTACATAGTTTTAATCAAATAAAACACACGTTCTGGATTGTTCACGCGCGCGACAACGCGGTGGTGACTTATGCCTGCACATGCCGCGTGCGTAGGTGATTCTTCGAAACCATCGGTTATCCTTATCGCATGCCACGGTCCACGAAGACCGCAATAGACTGAATATTAATAGAACTATATGAATATACATATACTGGTAATTTGTTATATTTTGTCTGCATTCAATACTGTTCATATTTTGAGCTTCGCACCGCAGCTTACTACAAAATATATTGTCCCTTACTTTTTGTAGCGTACAGTTTATATACGTAATACGTATCGGTTTACTTACATTATTTTTGTAAATTGTAATTTTAATTTGCATAAAGTGTAATTTGTTGTAATAATAACTCGGGTAAAATGAAAACTAAAAAATCTAGATTATCTAGAGTAAGAAAAAATAGAGGAAATAGTTCATCACTTGTAAATTGGCAATTACATCGCATAAAAAAGACGGTAAGTGAATTAAGTACCTACATTGTTGAATAATTTATTTTTTATTTTTGTGTATGTTTTTCATAGGTAAACACCGATAGTTTGACTTTTCCAGATGAAAGTCAAAATAGTGACGATAACCAACAAAGTAGTATTGAATTGTTCGTAATATACTTTTATTTTATTTACGAATTTTCTCAAATTTTGAGCCAAGCTGATAAATTTTTCTATTATTATTTAGATTAAATACGGATGATGTAGAAATAGGTTGTGGTATATTATCGACATCGTCAAGTATTCAAAACAACATACTTGACTCAACTTATAAATTAGATGTGACAAATACAATTGAAAAAAGGTGGGTAAGTGGATGTCGCTCTGCTGTACTGTAGGTTACAAGTGCGTCACTGACCTATAATAAATTCCAATAAATATCACATTATCACAATATCCATTAGGTACTTATAACACGTTATACATCAACATCAATAACAAATCCTGATACTATCATTGATATATAATAGTAAACTTTAGAAGTTTCAAGTAGGTACCCACGAATAATATTATATAATCACAACAAAATAACTAGGTTTTTTAATATGTGATTTCGTCTAAATTTGAACATAAAACGACTATAAAAATAAACTGTGATTGTATATTTTTTAGATTTTTTGGTAAGAGAATTAACTACTTACGTGGAATCTTGTTTTAAATTTTCAATCCTTAGCTATAAAAACTGAACATTTTATAATTTATTAATTACAATGATTAATAATTTTCGAAATTTTGAAAAATTCTGTCAAAATTCGATGTTTAAATGCTTATAAAAAAAACTGTGCCTATGTATTTTTAATATTTTTCAACTGATATTGTAACAATATATCAGGAGCCTTGTATTAAATTTTTACACTTTGTAGTTTGGACGCCCAAAGGTAAATAATGTTTTAACATTAATTTTTATTTAAAATCAACATATAAAAAAGATATTTTTTAATAGGTTTTGTTGTTGATAAAATATATCGGGATGAGGAGTTTTGGAAGAATAATATTGAACCTCAAACTACAAAATTTTTTATGGAATCTTTGGTGCCAGAAATCATTGACTCGAGGTTTGACAGAGGATTGCCTATAAGATCTGGTTTACCGGAACCATAATATAATATACTTATAAAAGTTTGTATTTTAATATACACGGCAAATTAATACCTAAAGCGTGTGTTTTTTTAATACCTAATCCTTAGTACCTTATAGTAAACTCTTATTTTTATAATAAATACATTTTCCAAATTATTACAATTGAAACTATGGTGGTTTTTTAAGTAAATAATAAAATGTTGATGTGTAAAGAAATGTGTTATATACTAATTTCATGGGACACGGACGTTGAATAATCAAAATATATAATTTAGAAGACAGCGAATGCGGGAATTGTTATTATATACGTTATTATTATTATTGCGTATAACTATATAGTGTTGTTTACAGTTATTGTGAATTAGCAGATAAGCAGTGGAGTAGGTAAACATGGTACGGTGCGGGGACACGTACACACACTAATAATCATTTACTACACACACAGTCTCAAGTCACACACGCACGCACTATAAATATTGCCTATACTGAACTCCTTAAATATACGCCGCCACCGATCCCCTTAATCGTGTATTGTTCAATTGTTATACTTTCCTGTCGATATTTCGTGTAACACTATATTATATGTTTTTGGTGCATTGTGCAGCGCACAGTTTTTTGATATCTAACCAACGAAATAGTGAATACATACTCAACGTGTGCATTTTTTTAGGCCGTACATGACAATTGGCAGCCTTAAAGAACAAGTGATTTACCCGGATACGCTTTCGGACACGCTGACCAAAGGCATTACCGAACAAGACTTGGAGGCGTGCCTGGCCCAAGTCCACCTGTCCCATCTGGTACAGAGGGAAGGCGGCTGGGACGCGACCGCTGACTGGAAGGACGTCCTGTCCGGTGGCGAGAAACAGAGGATGGCCTTTGCCAGAATCTTTTACCACAAGTGAGCATCACAGTGCGAGTTCTCGAAATTCGACCTTTCGATGACCCCTTCTCGGACTGGACGTGTAAAAAACCGCAACTGTATTATACTAAATTGTGACCGTTACTTACGTTTTCAGACCGTCTTTTGCCCTGCTGGACGAGTGCACCAGCGCTGTGAGCATAGACGTCGAAAGCGACATGTACCAGTCGGCCAAGGACTCCGGTATCACACTGCTCACCATCACCCACAGGCCGTCCCTATGGTAAGGAGCAACTAACTTTATGCTTCGTCATGATTATACCTAATTATTATATTATAGAACTCGACTAGTATCGAAAAAACCATTGATTTACTCGTCGTTTTCGTTTCAGGAAATTCCATTCCCACGTATTGCAGTTTGACGGCGAAGGCGGATGGAAAATTTCAACACTGGGACAAAAGGTAATGGCGTCCCCATGACCGGATTGTCTGTGGAAACATTGTATTAATATTGTATTCCGTTGTTTTGTTTTTGAATTTCCAGGAAAAAGATACCGGTATATTAGCAATCGAACAACCGAAAGATAAATTAGTGAACGGAATTTCTTAGTGTGAAAATCAAAAACGTTGAAAACATATCTTGCCAACCTTTAAATTTAAACGAAAACCATGTGATTATTAATTTAACGATTTATAAGATTAATTATTTTTTAAATGTTTGTCTATACGGATCTGCGTAGGTACGTGTTTTTGTTTCTTCATCGATTTGTATAAATCTAAACTGGAGAACAGAATAATATGTATTTAAATATTATTATTATTATGTATAAAATATAAATAAGGATAAAGTTTTTATAATATTATAATGTGTATTAATTTTCATAGATTTACTAAATTTCCGAGTGTATATGTAATAATATGTAAATTGTATAGGTGTGAATCAATTAATATAATATTGTGTAGATATTGACATATTGTATTATCATAATATCATCTACGTACCTATATATGTATATCGTAACTGTATGTTGTGTTAAATATTATGTTGAAAAAGACGAATAAAACTTTGAATTATTGTTACGAACTTTTGTCATCGACATTGTGGTATTTAAATATCCGTATTTTTAATAATTAATAATATAGGTATGGTAAGGTTCGATCTTCTATCTTGTCTCATGTCTCGAAATAACTAAATTAGGCCCTGCATTCAATGATAAAAAAATAATTTTATAATCATTACTACCTACGAAAAATGATTCTGAGCCTTGACCTGCTATTCTATACTTCTAAAGATATTATATTTATTTATTATATTGTTTGGTATTGCTTTTAATAATTTAATATTTCTAATATAGTATTTAGTATAGGTAAGACAGTAGGTGGAAATAATTTTTAAAAATCGTTTCGTATACTTAATTATACTTATTTTATCTTATTTTATTTTATTCTATTAATACTAACGCACATATGTAAAATGACTTAGAACTCCAATTTCACCAATAAGAGGTATACCTCAGTGGTGAATTGGGCCAATTAAGCAAAACAATTTATAAGTAATATCTTTAATAACTGTATATAATAGTGTAATTTATATTAATTAATGTTTATTTAAATATTTATTTTTGGCCAGTAAATTATCTTATCTTATCTTATCTTTATAATAATAATTATAATATTTTTATTTCATATAATATTAATAGCTGTTATTAACTTATATAAGTAAATCGTCAATACCTAATTTTTTTTTGCGATCCACAGTTTGGGAACCTCTGATTTAGATATCATTTTAAATTTCATTTTAAAACGCTTGTAAACGTTATTTAAATTTTGTCTTCTGTGCTATTTCGATTTTTTGCTTATGCAGCCTTAGGGTTTTCCGTTTAATACGTTGATGTACCTACCTAATTAGTATTTATGATATATTTTTTCTATTAAATATTTACTATATGAATACTCGACTACTCCCTACCTTCCTAGCTTCCAATTAGATTATAATTCGAATTACATTACACATGCATAAACGTTTAACCTCCGATCTATGCCCATCGCAAAAATACTGATCAGTGATCACAGCGTTTGTTCCAATGCAGTGTTTTCGTAAATTTGAATAATTATAATAACCCAACTAGGATATATGAATTTTGGTTCCAGGTCTCTTTGTACGGTCAAGCATTAAAAGTGCAAAACGCGGACATTTTGTACGGTCAGATCAAAAGGTACATTGCAGAACGCGGACACTTTGTACGGTCGAGTGAAAAAGTTAATTTCAATTTTTAGAACGTTGTTATGACACTTTGTAGTTTGTACTATTATATACATAAAGTATAAATTATAAATATAAGTTATATACCTAATATAAGTAGTATAATATATTATAATAGAAATTATTAAAATAGAAAATTTAAAAATAATAACTAAATTGTTATAAAATATTGTATATTAATAATAATCAAAATTATCAAACAATCAATAATATGATTACAAATCTTAATTGTATAATATTATCAAAAGTTATGTTTAAGTAAATTAAATATGTGTACAATAAAAATATGTCAAAATGACAAATAAAATATAATTTAGAAATATCTTTAAAAACTTCATGTATATAGTCTGTTCATTTTAAGAAGCGATTCAGGCGGCCACTAGTAAAACCGGTTTTCAAGCGTAAATCAGGTCGCTTCTTATTTTGAACAGGGTATAGTATAATATGGAAATATCTCAAAATGACAAATAAAATATAATATTGAAATAATCTTTAAAAACTATATGTAGAATATATAGAATTCAAAAATTCGAAATTTGTTATTACCTTATGCTTATTTTGATGCTGGACGCTGGCTACATAAATGTAATAGTTCGTTATTGTCAGCAGTATAGGATTTTTGTGTCTTATGAAGTCTATTACCAAAATCTCGGATAAGTTGTTCCTACTAATTTATTGAACCAACTATTCCACTCTTCACTAAAATTATTTTTTCGATGAGAATTAGACATTGTTTGATATCTTACAATCCAAATACGAGGAGGGTACCGTGGGTTATTGTTATTACCACTAATATAAGTTCTATCAAAGTATAAAATAAGAGGTAGTAACTCTTGAGAAAATGTTGTACCTACATATAACTAATTTCGACCAAAATGTCGTCAGTAGGTAAAAACGCCAATGAAGTTATCATTTTACATTCTTTGGAAATCCGTAAATTTTCTTTATATAATTTTGCTAATCCGAGTTGTTGAATTTGTCGCCATACAGACTTTCATAAATGACAAAAGCAATGCTTTCGTCACTACATAGACGGGACTGCAGTATACGTTTTTTGTGTTTAATTTTCAGATTTCCTACTTACTTTGACATGATTTTGACCACAAACCACGCAGTAACCGTGACATTATTTAGGGAAGTCTGCGTGACAGTCGTGACACAAACACATTAAATATTAATATTTTATTTATTCAAATGTATATTGTACCGTGTAAAATAATATAATTTAATTATGGTATCTTTCGAAAACGGCTGGACCTATTTGGATAATTTTTTTTATTATAATATGTTCGCTATAGTCCGAATAAGGTTTTTATGGAAAGAAAAATTGGAAAAATATCCCAGGAAGAGGTGCTCACTTAAGACCCCTGCAAATGTGTCATTTTTAAGGAGTTGTGTTTAGGCAATTATTTCGTTCCTGCGATTACTGATCGTCTTTGTGTGTGTAGTGAATGATCATTAGTGTGTGTATACTCCTCTACGTCTACCATCACCCGCGAACCGCATCAATTTACAATTCATTGTTATTTATTATCTGGTTTATTGTCGCACACACGCACATGCACATTGCACAAGTCATTTTAAGTCCAAAAAATGAAAAAAACATCCAAATATGCAAAAAAAAAGTTTCATGAATCAAAAATCATGTACTACTGTACTAATAATGTCTAAGATCTTCCAAAAAAAATGCACTGAATTGAAATCTAAGCTCTAGTTATGACTATACTCAGTTCCAAAAGAAAATATTATACTAGACGGCGACCGGTTTGAGTACTAGTAAGTATACTGAGTACCAATCAAATTTACCTTCAAATTCAAATTTTTTTAGTTTTTTTTTCTATAAAATTCGATAAATAATATTCTTGATATAATTTTCGATAAAATTGTGTTTGTTGGTATAAAAAGCGTCAAAATTTAATACAAGGCTCATGATACATTGCATAAATAACATTTTAAAAATATTAAAAATACATACTCACAATTTTTTTTTTATAAGCATTAAAATGTTGAAGTTTGATAACATTTATCAAATTTTAAATTTTAAAATGATTTTGTAGTTTAAAATTGATAAAATGTTCTACTTTTATAGCTAAGGATTGAAAACTTACAACAAGGTTCCACGTAAGTAGGTTTTATGTAAATTACTTTATTGATAATAATATTCTATAAACAAAAAATCTTAAAAGTATTATAGCACTGTTATTTTATGTTCAAATTTAGAAGAAATTACATATTAATTATTAAATAACCAAGAATAACGATTTTAGGTATTTTGTTGTAATTTTATAATATTAAGTCAACTTACCTCATACCGTATTAATAATAAATAGGGCGCGGATTTTTATGTAAATACATATTTTTATTGAATGCAGATATCTTTGTCCTGATAAAAATTAGCACGTTTCTTAACACCCTGAATAAAATGAAAATTTTTTCACATATTTCTAAATATTTTATTAATAAGTACATATTTTATAAATAGTGGAAAATGCAGCAAATACACTTAGTGAAGTCCAAGGAGAATCTGGAGTGATAATAAAAAATAAATTAAATGACGTACTAGCTAAAAATGTTCGTTTTCAACACATAAAAACTATTAGAAATATTCTTCTAAATACAAATGAAAACAATGGATCAATGGATATTGAATTTGCACCATCTGATATATCAAATATGAAATATGCCCCATTAACCTCAGTTGACGTGGAACGCTCTTTCAGCAGATACAAATCAATTTTAAGACCTAACCTCCACACATTTAAATTTGAAAATCTCCAAATGTACATTGTTTCAAACTGTTTCGAAGACGACTGCAATGAAGATGAATACATTAAGGCATAAGGTTCCCTTTTCAGGAGCACTGCCACGGTTGCCCCTGTGATTTTTTCATGCAAGTATGCAACCCGTTCATTTATTTCCTCGCCTATCTATTTATGCCCGTGGACCGTGGTAGATATTTTCATAAACCGTTTATGTTATATGTATAACTCCTCGTTAATGTGTTCCGACTGAATAAAATTGTAGTTTTCATACTTTGATCAATGAAAACTATAAACTTGGAAATGCTATTACAATAGGCAATACGTAATAATGAACATATTACCCGTTGAAATTGTATGTACAGTTTTTTATTTTGTCTTATAATACTGTTCAATATATTATCCACCATGAACTGCTATGCATAAGAAATAAGTCAGTTTTATTCAACTCTTTGTAACGAAATTAGAACTGTAATTAGGTATAATAAGAGCGAGAATAGATAGTTTTGATACAGGGTGACTTTAACCGTTAATTTTTGGTTCGGTTCCATAATTTGTTTTTGAACTTTATTTGCGATAAACGTTAAA